GAACCATAGCCTACAGAGAGGTGATTTATAGGTGATTATAGGCTAATGATAATAAATGTGTCTGAAAAAATAACGAGGCATTTTAATTGTTTATTAATAAACTAGTGTTAGTGCCGACTGCAAACATATTTTCATCTCCACTGTAAAGCGGATGCGCCTTTAGAGAGAAATGCACCTTTCATATGGATTACATAATCAGAAGGTATTTGCTTTCGATTTGAATTTGTTCGTTTAAAAGTGGACATTTCAAGCTTTAGCCTACATAGGCTATATTTTGTTTCAGTTCATTTCTGAGACATGTTCCAGTTCACGGAGATCATGAAAGCGCACCTGATTGTTTTCTTTTATTTTGTAAAAGAAGAACGTTTTCTTGTTATTGTGAGTTTACACAAATAAAAGTAGTTGCGGATTATGTATTATTATTTTCTGTATGACCATAAATGATAGAGTATTTTAAGTTGTTTCCACTGTTGACAGGAAAATGCAAGTGTTCGCGCCCGCGCCTCCGTCATGCAGTGCGCGCTCCACACTTCGCACAAACCCTTGGATATACGTCAAAATCTTGTGTTTATTTGTGATAAACTTAGCCCTGTATTATTATTGTCTAACCTGTATTATGAATGACATTTGACGAATTGCTTTGTTCCTTTTTTTGATAAAAGCGCCTTCTAAATATGTAGCCTAATAAATGTAGCCTAATAAATGTAATAGGCTATAATAATAATTATTATTATTATTTGCGTTTATAACTATAAATGACTTCACTTAAGACAGTAATATGTTTATCATAAAATAATTGATGAATGTATTATTTTTATATAACCTTTTACAGTTTTGGAAAATGAGTTTGTTATATTTCTTTTTTTGTATGAGAAGTCTTTTTTTGCTATTCTATTATAGCCTACTGAGCTTTTTTAAAAAAAAAAAGGACTTTAAAGATACAAGTACCGGGCTAAATGTCGTTTTTTTAGAAAATTCAAGAAATTACAAAGAATTGATATTTACAAATCTGAGAGCGCGGATTAGGATATCGTGGGTATAGGCCTACAGTTTATTAATCCGTGGGCACGATTTGTTAAACCGATCGAGGGAACAGTTTGTACTCAACCGTGAGTAGGCCTACGGTTTATAAACTTGAGGGGACGGATTGCAAAACCGTCGCCACAGATTTTTTTTTAATTAACACACCTGATTCAGATCCTCAGCTCGTTAGGATAGACTCTAACGAGCTGAGGATCTGAATCAGGTGTGTTAAATAAGGGAGACATACACAATATGCAGAGCAGTGGGTCGCGAGGACTGGAGTTGAGAACCACTGGGTTAACGTATTGCACCGGAAATAGGCGGGGCAATCTCTGGTGATTTTCGCACCACCTTTAATTCCTTAGCACGCTAATGAACTCTTCTTGATGAAGAGTAGCTGCAATGTTACATTTAAATTATTGCTTTTTGCCATTCAAAAACCCTCGACAACAAGGAAACGTAAGCTCATTAAATGGTGTCAAAGTAAACAGTTACTAGCAAGGAGAGTAAAGTGTTTAAGATGTGGCCATAATATGAGAATGAAGAAAACGAGACGTCTTGACGGTTTTCAATGGTGAGTTAAACAAATTAAGATTTGTTGTTCACATGATGTTTTTCTAAACATTTCTAGGGATATTTTAGAACAAAAAATGAACAATAATTTCTTTAAATAAATAAAATAACCTATTAACGTTATTTTTTAAAATTGCATAATTAGAAAGGTTCACGGTTTGAGATTGATTTAAAAAAAAAAATATATATATATATATAAATATAGCGAAGTAATTTTTGTAAGGAGGTTTAATATTGACATCTAAGGTTGAAAATGTACATCAGCAATTACTTACTGGTACTCTCCACAATGACTCCTGTCAGCCTATCACTCACGTACCTCTCCACTCTGCTTTCTCTACCTTTACACTACCTACTACTTCAGAGATTGTGGGTCTGATAGGTAAATCTAAATCTTCGACTTGTCAGTTAGACCCTCTACCAACTCCTTTAGTGAAAGCTTGTTTACCAGCCCTTTTGCCATTGATTACTAAAATTGTTCACGCTTCACTTGGGTCTGGTTTTGTATCTCCATCTCTTAAATCTGCTATTATTACACCCATACTTAAGAAACCAGGGAGTGATCCCTTTAATTTTGACAATTTTCGTCCCATTTCAAATTTACCATTTATCTCTAAGGTAGTGGAAAAGTGTATTGCAATTCAAATTCATGAACATCTCTCCAATAATAACTTGTATGAACAATTTCAATCTGGATTTTGTCCACACCACAGCACTGAGACTGCTCTTGTCAGAATAACTAATGATCTACTGTTGGCAGCTGACTCTGGACTTTTAACCATTCTTGTCCTTTTAGACTTGAGTGCTGCCTTTGATACTGTCTCACACCAGATACTTCTTGACAGGTTAGCTTCCATTGGTATTACTGGCACTGCTCTGTCTTGGTTTAGGTCATATCTCTCTGGACGCAGTCAGCGTATTCAATTAAAAGGTTTAAGTTCCAGAATATCGACAGTCACCACTGGTGTTCCCCAGGGTTCTGTTTTGGGCCCGCTTCTTTTCATTATTTATATGCTCCCTCTTGGTGATATTTTAAGGAAATATGGTATTCATTTTCACTGTTATGCGGATGACACCCAACTTTACCTGTCTGCTAAACCCACTGGTTCTTTTCCTCCGCCATCTTTGTCAAGCTGTTTAGCTGAAATTAAAGTTTGGCTTTCAGCAAACTTCTTGAAGTTAAATGGCAATAAAACTGAGGCTCTGCTTGTTGGCACTAAATCTGTGGTATCTAAATCGAATTGTTTCTCTCTATACATTGACAATACTGCAATCTGTCCTTCCTCTCAGGTTAAAAGTTTGGGTGTCATCATGGATGGCACATTATCTTTTCAAGCATAAATTAATAATATCACGCGAATTGCATACTTCCATTTACGCAATATTAACCGTCTCCGTCCCTTTCTCTCAAATAGTAATACTGCAGTTCTTATCCACGCACTAGTCACTTTACGTATAGACTACTGCAATGCTCTTTTCACAGGTATTCCGTCCAAATTGCTGCATAAGCTTCAGTTGGTCCAGAACTCTGCAGCTCGTGTTCTTTCTAGAACACCCTATACTGACCACATTTCTCCAGTTCTTCAGCAGTTGCACTGGCTACCAGTAAAATATAGAGTTGAATTTAAAATCTTGCTACTCACTTATAAGGCACTTCATAATCTTGCACCACAATACCTTACTCAACTTCTCCATGTTTACACCCCTTCACGTGCACTCAGATCTTCTTCTTCAATTTCTCTTGTGGTACCTCGGATTCGACTTACCACCATGGGTGCCAGATCTTTTAGTTATGCTGCCCCTGCCTATGGAACTCTCTTCCTCTTGATGTTCGCAATAGCGAGTGCTTGCTGACTTTTAAAACGCGCCTTAAGACATATCTTTTTATTCAGGCTTTTTTATAACATGTTTTTATTGAGATTTAACTGCACTTTACGCTGTTTGATTGTTGTGTGTTATGATTTGTGTAGTGACCTGTATATTTCTTGTGAGGTGACCTTGGGTGTTCTGAAAGGCGCCATGAAATAAAATGCATTATTATTATTATTATTATTATTATTATTACTCATAATTGTACTTGTTAGATAAAATTTAATCATAATAGAAGGTAAATAAAGTAGGCTATTCAGTTAAAATACTTTCAATAAGTAATTCTACAACCCCAAATCAGAATAAGTTGGGACCAGGGGCGGATCTAGAAAAATATTTATGGGGTGGCGAGAGGGGGGCAGGAATTTTTGAGGGGTGGCAACTTATGGCAGACGTTTATATACTGAATTTAAATCACAGTTATCAGAGTTTGATGAGAAATAGTATGTACACAATACAAAAGGGCAAAGGCTGCCATTTACAAACTCATACAGACAAACTTAATCTCATGCAATCAATGTCTTGCATTTGGGGTTTCATGTGAAACAGTTCATATTAGGAATAAGTGACCATACAATGTGATCTCACTTAATAGGAGAGAAGTATGACAGAAGGGTATTATCACAGGAAAAGCATTAAGATAATACACAGGTGATGAGTGGCAGATGTGTGAGAGGGGAAGCAAACAGTTTTTGACTGTGTCAGAGGGGCTGTTTACACCTGGCCACTTCATGTGTTTTCTGTGATGGGATAGCTATCCGATCGTGATAAGACCAGGTGTAAATGCCCTCCGAAACGCATTCGAGACAGATTTGAATCCGATCTCTCAAACCACTTCAGGAGGTGGTCTGGGCCGCATTCCAGACGAAACTGGACAAGTGTAAATGCATCTGGTTGTTAAACCACATATGTAAATTTGACTCCTCCCAAAAATGCTAAAAAATAAACGTGTGAGAGCGTTTTGTATAGGCCATATGTCATGTTATAGTCAGATATGACGACTCGTCATATCTGACTATAACATGACTTATAGACGACGCAACTGCAACACGCATCACCGCAGATGAGCAGCTGAGCATCTATTCATTAAGCCAACGTGCAAACTATCGCAAATCAAAGTGAAAGTAAGTCGCAGACTTACTCTTATTGCTCTCTTTGATTTTGAAATTAGCTGATGATCAATAAAATGCAGCTCATATCTGTTGCTTTGGTGACGTGAACTACATTAAATCTGCATATATCGTGGGAATTGAAGATCGGATTTATATCCGTCTTGCAAAAACACAATTATGTGACCAGGTGTAAATGGAATAGTTTTGATAAATCAGAAAGCTATCCGATCTGAGCATGAAGTGACCAGGTGTAAACAGCCCCAGAGAGGCAGCGTTGCAGGCAGCATTTGTAGAAGAAGAAACTATACAAAGAAAAACGTACCCATGATATGAAGACCTATTGACTGAGCTGTACTAAAGTGAGCATAAATACACTGTGGAAATAAATGGGTCACGGCACTCAAACAAGGTTTTACTTTGGTTTTATTAAAGGTTCTCAGTTGCCAAAACAAAGATATAAACAGAAATTTAAAGTACAGATTCTGTTGAGGTCATCATTTTAACAGCTTTGTAAAGGCTCACCAGTGAGCATAACATTAAGTTTTCATGCCTATAACAGCTGAATGCGGCGATTTCCATGTTGCTCAGCAAAACGCCTCACAAATTTATCTAATCTAATGCCCTTGTACGTTTTGATTCAATGCTGAGTACAGCCAAACTCGATAGTCTCTTTTCTGACATAGTTGACCGCAAATAAGTCTTTATGAGCCTGAGAGATGAAAAACTTCGTTCACAGGATGCACTGGTCACAGGTAAAACAACCGCTATTTTACACAACCTGAACAACTCATAAAACACATCCTGGTATGGGTCCAAAAACTGAGTGAACTCCATTAGAGTGGTAGGACTCTCCTTTTCCCCCTTTTGTCTGTCTAGTACTCTCCTCGTCTGATGTAACTCGTTTTTGAGATCCTCAATATTTGAATCGTAAGCTTCAGCTAATAACAGAACAGACTCCTCTCTCAAAAAAGTTGGACTTGACGGATTTAGTGCCTGGACACCCTGCATAATGTTACAATTTGTGTTAGAAAATCTTCTTCCTATTTCTCCAATCATGTTATCCAGAACTGGATAGTACACAGAGACACAAAACGTGTGTTTGCTATCTGGAACTACATGCTGTCCCAAGGTGCAGTGGATGACAGTATCCTGAAGCACCTTTGCTGTCTGTCTTGGCCTCTTTGGTTTTCGCTGAGTTGTATCAATGTTACTTCGTTGACATAAATCAAGTGTTTCACTCCACATTTCCTCAAAAGAGGCTTGACTACGGTACTGGACCAGTGTCTCTTTAAGTGCTTCAATAAGTTCAACAGCCTTAGCATAGTCCACTGTTTTAGACTGGAACATGTCTGATAAAAACTTGGAGTCACTCAGGACCTTTCTGAACAGAACAAGACATCCAGCAAAATTCAGATCAATTTGAGCCAATATCCCTCTTGCTTCTACAGCTCTTTGTGGATGGTTCTCAGATGCGATCTCTTCAAGCACCTGTACTATTGCAGGCAACCTGTCCATAACATTGCGACATGCTATGTGCCTACAGGCCCAACGTGTATCACTTAGCTGTTGGAGTTCCCTTGGTACACCATCAAACATCTCCCGCTGCACTTCCAGCCATTTGTTATGTACATAAGACCCAGACATGAATACATACAGTCGTTCCATTAATGAGAAGAAGTTTCCTGCATCTGCCACACTTTTTACAGCGTCTACTATAACTAAGTTCAAGCAGTGTGCACTACAGTGAACATAGAAGGCATGTTTGGCTACTTCTTTTATTTTAGCCTGAACACCTGCATGTGCCCCGCGCATCACTGCTGCACCATCGTAGCCCTGGCCTACAAGGTTTTTCTTGTACTCCAGCCCATGCTTCTCAAGGAAGAAGATAATCTTGTCACTTAAGGAGGCAGCATCCAGGTGTTCTGCCACTTCAAACTCCAGAAAGCTTTCATGTACCACACCGTTGTAAAAATATCTCAGAACAAATGACATTTGCTCTTTTTTCTGAACATCTTTAGTTTCATCAACAATAACTGAAAACTGCTTGCTCGTTTTAACTTCCTGGATGATTTCTTCTTTGACCATTGCAGCCAAGCACTCAAGTATTTCATTCTGTATTGTTTTACTCGTGTATTTTGCATTTTTAGCTTGTTGTTCAAGTCTTTTTTTAATGATGGGGTTATGGTTACCCAGCAGGTCTAACATAGACAGAAAAACACCTTTTTTTTCTGAGTCGAGAGACTCCCTGTGACCCCGCTGTGCTATGTTTTCTGTGGCTGTTAAAACTAAAATTTCAGCTAATGTTTTAATGTAGTATTGATTTTCAGCCACCTGCTTCTTTTTTTGCTCATCCATTAGTCCAAACATTGAGGTATTTTTATCCATAATTTTCTTGTTCTCTGTCCATGCGAACATTGCATTTACATGGCCTTCAGATCTGGCATGAGAACAGAAACCACTGTCTTTCATTGTGGCCTTTTTCCAGTTACTATAACCCTCGAATGAGGTGAAAACAGTCCTTGGAGCATCGGGGAGGGAAAAATGTCTACAAGCAAAACAGTAAGCTGCATCTTTCGATTGCGAGTATTCTAACCAGGGATGAGATTTGTACCAGTCGCTGCGGAAGCTTCTCCTGGCTCCTCCCTGGAGGGTTTTAGGGAAACTCTCGCGCATTGGCTGCACTGGCACCTCACACCTGGACTTGGATACATCTAGAAGATGGTGGGGAGGAAAGATTCATACTGAATTACATCTAAATTAATTATACAATATTTCAACTAGTAAATATTACAACTAGTAAAAAACATAATCAATTAGGAACTGTCATTGATTAGTTATAACCAGAGGTGTCAAGTAACGAAGTACAAATACTTCGTTACATTTTGGGTATCTATACTTTACTGGAGTTATTATTTTTCAGCCGACTTTTTACTTCTACTCTTTACATTTCCACTCAATTATCTGTAGCTACTTTCCACTCCTTAGTCCTTACATTTTAAAAATAGCCTCGTTACTCCCATTTCATTTTGGCTTGTTTTCATTCCGGCTTGTCAATGTAAAAAAAAAGGGAAAAAAAAGCCCATCCAGATAAATCACACCATCCGGATTTGATTGTGGTTGGATGAGAAGTATAAAAATATACCATTCCGACACCCTATTGGTTTGTGCGCGATCCATCGGACATGTATTACACATATGGTTCTTTAATGTATTTGCATTGTACTAAAATGCATTCATTTTCAATGGGCATATATGCGGCTGAAACAGGGAGCCTAGTGCATCCCAAATTTTTATCAACATTAACATTTTAATATAACATTATAGTCACTACGGCCATTAGAAAGATGTTGTTTTGAGGTGGGGTAGTGCACTATAGGCCCCTGTGGCGAAGCCTAAGCTTTTGTCCTTAATGGCATTTCTTTCCCTTACATTGCTTTTACTTTTATACTTTAAGTAGTTTTGAAACCAGCACTTTTACATTTTACTTGAGTAAAAAGCTTGAGTTGATACTTCAACTTCTACAGAAGTCTTTTTAAACCCTAGTATCTATACTTCTACTTGAGTAACGAATGTGAATACGTTTGACACCTTTGGTTATTATAACCATCAGACTGTGTTAACACACACTAACATTTTAGCCTGGGAGAGTATTTTTAGGTTCATTTGTTTCATTTTATTTTATTTTTTCATCTGAGCAATAGATCTAAAATACATCCTACACAAAATGTAAAAAATCATCTCCCCATCTCATCACACTTTCACACTGACAACTTTCCCTAATTATTCATATTTAAGCAAACATGAATTTTTATATTTATTTGAAGTCTAAGCAATGTCTCTTAAATATTATAACAAATGTCTGTCTTTGTCATTTGTTGTTCTTATTCATATGTAACTTAGTATACTGTGCAGCAATAATTTCCATACCATGTGGACCAGCTCGACTGGAGATCGTTGGTGATGGCCCAGGCACTCTCCTTTCCCTTTCACTGTCTGAGCCCTGCACATTATCTTGTCTCTCGCTTTCTCCCTCCTCATTTTGGTGATGCTCTCCCTCCATATCTTCACCGCTGTGGTGTTCTCCCACCTCCTCCTGTCCCTGGTCGCCTTGGCCTTGTGTTCTATCTGTGCCACATTTCTGTTGCCCTTTTCTCTCCACCTCGTCTTCGTCCTCTCCTTCCACCTCTTTTCTCTCTCCTTCCTCCTCAGCTTCTCCGTCTACCTTGCTCAGATGTTCATTTTCTATTTCTCTCGCCTTTCTCTTTGGTGAGAAAAAACTGCATATGCTACCTTTCCTCTTCATTTCTGTAACATTCAAAATAACTTTAGGCTACAATGTTTTCCTTGACAGAGTTTAATTAATATTAGCTTTTGTACGTTAGCCTACTTTACACAGAACAAACGTCAGACCTAACTAACATTATATGTATAGTATATAACGTTCTTCAACCTGATTTTTATCATCTCAAAATCAGCATCACAACTATGCTAGCACTGTGCTTTCATTATAATTCCATTTCTTGATAGATAGTTAATCCGTTTTTACCTTTTTCCTCCTGTGTCTCCTTTCCTCGCAACTCCTGGCTCATCGCTTCGCGCCACTCAGTTTTCCAAACAAATCAGTTACTCTGACGTCATCTCGTGCTGCGTTCACTGCAGTCGGGTATGAGGGGCCGGACTGGATAAAAGCGAAGCGAACTGCGCGAGAGAGACCGGCGCCGTCGGACTTTGGAGATTCGCGCTCGTAAATTGTCAAATTGGCCATAACTTAATTTGTTGCTGCCAACTGGGGTGGCAGCAGGGGTGGCAAGGCTTTCTTTTAGGGTGGCATTTGCCACCCTATGCCACCCCGGTAGATCCGCCCCTGGTTGGGACATTTTGTAAAATGCAATAAAATCAAGAATCTGTGATTTGTTCATTCTTTTTAACCTTTTTTTAACTGACAAAAGTACAAAGAAAAGTTTTCCAAAGTTTTCACTGACCAACATAATTGTATTTTGTAAATATGAACAAATTTTGATTTTGATGGCTGAAACACACCCCAAAAAAGGTGGGACAGAGACATGTTTACCACTGTGTCACATCACCTTTCCTTTTAATTACACTTTTTAATCATTTGGGAGTTGAGGATACTAATTGTTGGAGTTTTGCTGTTGGAATATTTGCCCAATCTTGTCTGATACAAGACAGCCGCTCAACAGTCTGTGGTCATCCTTGCCTGATTCTCCTTTTCATAATGGGTCATACATTTTCCATAAGAGACATGTATGGACTGCAGTAAACAGGCACATCCCTTCTATGGTGCAGAGTGTCTAGAAACCACTCAGTTGTAGCACGTGCAGAATGAGGCCTGGCATTGTCTTGCTTCCCAGGAAAGATGTCATCTTGATGGCAGTTTATTGGATTGGATTGGGTTGGGGTTGGGGGGGGGTTGGGGGGGGGGGCGCGGAAGTTTGAGAGGAGCGCCCCTTGACAAATCTCGCGAGAATCACGACATGCTTTACGGCAACGACGTCACACACATCAGCAACCACGTCACACACATCAACAACAACATTTGAAGCACGAAGACACTTGCACGCATTTCAGACGTGATACTCGACGATGGAAAAAGCAAAGAAAACGTTCATTTTCATGTGCATATACAGCATTTATTGGTCAGTAACTTTGTATGAGGGACCCTGGTCATCCAGTTCATGTATATTTTGCATTAACAATCTGTGGTCTGAGGTGTTTTTGGGGCCCTTGAGATGTTTTGACATGCCCTGACATTTGTGCTTATTTCAGCTACTTAAAACATACCATTTGCCAACATATACATTTGCTGTATTCAGCACAAACTCTGCTACAATAATATGTGAGAAATGGATGTGTACATGTTTGCATTTTATAGAAAAAAAATATTATGCGTGGTTAGTACGTTTTGGTGAAAAAAATGTCACTGCAATAAGGCCATTTAACACATACTGAATAATTGTCCACAAGACTTTTGAGTTACTATTCTTGTAGGCTAGAATTTTTACTTCAAAATGAAGTGAAAATCATTCTGACCACTCTTTCACAAACAACAATATAATGATTTAAATTTCTTACGTCAGTTTTTGGTCAGCACTGCTGTATGCGTGGGAGTTCGAATGGGCATGAATATTAATGTGATTTACACCTGGGAAGACTAAAGGCACTCCCCCAATGGCCCATCAAGGTGCTGTGAGGCAGCCTGAACTAAGAATGATTCACTGATGAATAAACAGTTAAAAAGAACAGCATTTATTCAAAATAGAAATCTTTCCTAAGAACGTAAAGACTTAAAGTCATTACTATCACTTAACACATCCTTTCAAAAAAAACAAACATAAAAAGACCAAACTTGTTGGTTTTTTTATATAAAAAAGTGGACAGCCTGTTGCTTGCCTGCTTGTTTGCCTTGGCTCTCTTCGGAACTGGTGGATGGACGTGTTCATTGTCACATCTGTTATAAAAAAGAAAAAAAGCATGAGCATGCTGATAACACAATCAAATAAACTGTATTATTATCATTATCAATCACTAATTGCCATGGATAAGTTTTTTTTTTTTTTTTGTAATTTCACACAAGAATAGGTAGCCTACTTTTACATTATGACGATGTAAACACAATTAGGCTAAATTTCATCTGTAAAATATTACGTCTGTGCACTTACTCAGTATGATTCTCGATCGCACTGAGAACTGAACGACACATCCCTCTGCGAGGTGCTGGCGAAGGAGAGCATGATGCAAACACATTCCTAAAAAATTAATAAAAATAAAAATAAAAACTGTTAGCATACATTATCCAAAGTAAACTGATGAACAATGAATGGGTATGGATGCACAATGTATGTATATATCTGTTGATGGGCCATGGGACGGAGAAATATCTGTTGATGGCCCATATAGACCGCACGCATTTAATGATACACGCAATGAATGGATCGTTCGCGAACGACACATCACTACATTTCAAACATTTACACCTGTATTCAGTTATTTACGCATGATATAGTGTCATAGGCTAACCAAAACTGAACATTTAATTATATAAAAAATATATTGTATTTAGACCTCTTTTACCGGAGCCTGAAATATATTTCTCGTTATATAACCTAAGCAGTTATTCGCAAACAAAATAGGCTACATTACGCATAAGGCACTATTTTAGCATAAGTAGTGTCATAGGCTAACCAAAACTCAACATTTTTATATAAAAAATATATTGTATTTAGACAGTATCACATATTTTACCGGAGGCTGAAATATATTTCACTAAATCAATAGGCTATACCTAAACATGCAGTTATTAGCAAACAAAATACATAACGCATAAGGCAGTATTTTAGCATGATAATCAGTGTCATAAGCTACTCAAAACTATATATTTAATATACAAATATGTTTAGAGAGTAATATCACATTTAAAAAGTTTACACGAACGAATGTTAGGGATATTGTGAGGCAATCTTTTCTGTAAGATGTCAAAAGCTAGGCAAAATATAGTCTGAAAATTCATTTGAGCTCTATACAATCAGAAAAGAAATTATAAAACACTAAACAACTTACTCCGAACTTGTAGGCCTATCCTCGGCGCGGGATCAATTCGTTCTTCAAAATGCAGCCGTTCCTCATCCGAGTTATAATCTTCCTCGCTGTCCAGAATCATCTGAAGGGCCTCTTTGTCGGAGTACCGTGCCATCCTCAAAACGCAATGAATCTATCAGTGGAGAAACTTCGTGTTTTTATGCCATTGATCGCTGGGCGTGTGCGATGCATAACGTTAGATCACCTATTTACCATGTTAAAAGCGCTAGGGGCGTGGCGGCCTCAGCTAATTAAAGATAATGAAGGGAGAACGAAAAAACTGTACCTCTCCTTGGTTTCAAACGGATTACATAAACTGGAAATATTTATTTTTTTAATAAATTACTTCATTTAAAAGAAGAGAATACAAGCTTTAAAAAGACACGTCTCGTATCTCTGTGACAAGTATTGACTTAGTTACAGTTCATTTTTCGGACGCGTTTCAGAATGGACTTCACTGACAGAGAGAACGCAGAACGCGCATCATGTTTATTTTTCTTTATTAGGCGAAAAGCACAACACTTTGTTTTTATTGTGAGGTTCCACAAAAAAAATACAAACTTAACAGGATCGAATGATGTATAACACTTATATGTAAGATCAAAATCAACAGAGTAATTTGAGTCTCTTTTGCACTGATAAGGAAAAAAGTGAGCTGGTATCGCCGGCGATACCGCCGACCCCAGAGGGTTAATTACTGGATGACTGTATATTATCCCTTTGATATATTTCATATATTAGGAATGTTGGTAACGCTTTAGATTACAGCCCGGAAAGTACTGCATAATTAAAGCGATTTTACAGTGTAACCTTCGGTAATTATAGTGTACCTATAACGTACTTACAATATAAGTATAAGGGAACAGTATTTTAAATTTGGGGAATAAAGGGGTAACAACCAGGAGAATTAAAAAAATATTTATACTGTAAGTACAACCCGAATTCCGGAAAAGTTGGGACGTTTTTTAAATTTGAATAAAATGAAAACTATAAGACTTTCAAATCACATGAGCCAATATTTTATTCACAATAGAACATAGATAACATAACAAATGTTTAATTGAAGAATTTTTACACTTTTATCCACTAAATGAGCTCATTTCAAATTTGATGCCTGCTACAGGTCTCAAAATGGGACGGGGGCAACAAATGGTTGAAAAAGCAAGAAATTTAGAAAGGATTCAGGTGGGATAACATCTAGCAACTAATTAAGTTCATTTATATCAGGTCTGTAACATGATTAGCTATAAAAGGGATGTCTTAGAGAGGTAGAGTCTCTCAGAAGTAAAGATGGGCAGAGGCTCTCCAATCTGTGAAAGAGTGCGTAAAAAGATTGTGGAACACTTTAAAAACAATGTTCCTCAACGTCAAATTGCAAAGCCTTTGCAATTTGACGTTGAGGAAGGAGATGGTGGTGGACTTCTGCCCACAACGTCGCAGGACCTACACCCCTCTTCTGATAGATGGGACACCAGTGGAGAGGGTGAGCAGTTTTAAATACCTTGGAGTGCACATTTCCGAGGATTTATCATGGACTGTACACACGGATACTGTGGTGAAGAAGGCAAGACAGCGCCTTTATCACCTCAGACAGCTCAGGAGATTCAGGGTCTCCCAACGGATCCTGATTTCCTTCTACTATGCTGCTGTACAGAGCATACTGACTGGAGCCATATCTGTCTGGTACGGTAACAGCTCCTGTCGGGACCGGCGAGCTCTGCAGAGGGTGGTGAGGACCGCTGAGCGGACCATGGGCATTACACTCCCTCCTCTGCATGACTTATTCATCACACGCTGTACTAACAGGGCCAGAATGATTATCAAGGACCCCAATCACCCTTGCAATAAACTGTTTGTAACCCTCAGGTCAGGCAGACGCCTGCGCTGTCATAAAACACGTACAGAGAGGATGAGGAACAGTTTTTTTAACTCTGCACTCTGAACACTTTTAATTTCGAATACACTTTCAACATTTTTGACCCAGTCACTGAATTTTAACATTTGTACATCTGCCTGTCTAGTTTTAATTTATAGATATAATATTATTCTTTATTTCTAACCATTGCACACTGACTGCATTACTATTGCACATGTAAAATAGTCATAAGCATAATTTAATTATAACTTAATAGTAACTTAATTATAACTTCCGCTATAGCTTTATTGTATTGTATTTATTGTGTTTTATTGTATTTTTATTTTCTACTTCAATTGAGCACAGAAGTACAGTACGTCACAAAAACATTTCACTGCGCATCTTGTATGAGTATGTGACAAATAAAAACCTTTGAATCTTTGACAAGGCCGAAGACCTTTATTGGATGCCCGTGGTCTTCGGGCCCTCAGACGACACTGCATCACTCATCGGCATGATTGTGTGAATGACATTACTAAATGGGCCCAGGAATACTTCCAGAAACCACTGTCGGTAAACACAATCCGCCGTGCCATCTGCAGATGCCAACTAAAGTTCTATCATGCAAAAAGGAAGCCATATGTGAACATGGTCCAGAAGCGGCGTCGTGTCCTGTGGGCCAAGGCTCATTTAAACTATGCTATTACATGCTATGCTAACTATGCTATGCTATTATAAAGCTATTACAACTGCATGGCTAGAAGAGTCCGGGTGTTGAATTGGCCTGCCTGCAGTCCAGATCTTTCACCTATAGAGAACATTTGGCGCATCATTAAACGAAAAATGCGTCAAAGACGACCACGAACACTTCAGCAGCTGGAAACCTATATAAGGCAGGAATGGGACCAAATTCCAACACCAAAACTCCAGACACTCATAAACTCGATGCCCAGACGTCTTCAAACTGTTTTGAAAAGAAGAGATGTTACACCATGGTAAACGTGCCCCCGTCCCAACTATTTTGAGACCTGTAGCAGGCATCAAATTTGAAATAAGCTCATTTATTGGATAAAAGTGTAAAATTTCTCAGTTTAAACATTTGTTATGTCATCTATGTTCTATTGTGAATAAAATATTGGCTCATGTGATTTGATTTGGTCTTATAGTTTTCATTTTATTCAAATTTAAAAAACGTCCCAACTTTTCCGGAATTCGGGTTGTATTATAGAACTAAAGGGTACTTATTCTACTATTATGATATAACAATCTTACATTTGGGAGCAATTTAGCGAGAACATACACTGCGTACCTTTTTGAGATAATGGTGAACCAGTACATTACTGTATAGCCTTTTTAAAAATTACAGGGTTACCGGAATGTTTTATAACTTTTATCTGTATGTAAATTTTTATTTCATATTTTCAGATGAGCAATAATAGCCAGTTCTCATCAGGAAGTGATTGTGCTACTCTGACTGTGGGACTAGACAAGGAAAGTGTGAGTTGTGCTTTAAGAGAATAAGTAGGGTTGGTAATCACTTAATTATTAATTCCGATTCTGCATATCTACCGAATGTTAAGAATGTTGTTTTTGATGTGTGAGCAGCACAGAAGAGCAATGCGTGAGTCTATGGTTTAAATGAACATTAGAACACTTTTTCTGTGAGTGTGCTTTGGGTGTGTGTGCAGCACAGAAAACAATGCATTGGGCTAGCGCTTGAATAGTTCAAAGTCATATTAAAATGCACACAAAGGAATAGATCGGAGTAATTGAAATGTTAATTTTATTACTAGTATACAATTCCTGACAGTAAGTATCATATTTTAGAATTGGAATTGGTTTTGATTCCCAACTCATATTAGCGAATGTAGCAAAGATGTTTTTGCGACCTAGGCTTTTAACATATTTAGACCAGTGTTTCAAATGTCTAATTTTATGTTTTGTAGACTCTCCGTGAGGTTGAACCCCCCCCACTCTTAAAGTGAACACTCATTCCCTGTCAGAAGCCAGAGATGTACATAAGGTATTGTTTTTTTCTCTCTCTAAAAATCAAATGGTTATGGACATATATTCAGAGTTTTAACTAAATGCTTGAATACCACGTTAATATTTCTCCCTCTTTTAAATGTGGAAGTCACCGCTGTAACCTATGGATTTATTTGCCCACTATAATTACCCAGTGGTTGAAAATGTGCCATCATACCTGAATTTGTTCAGGCATCATCTAATAATGGTATCATTAGCCATCTTTTGCTTGAGCTGCTCGTTCATAATGTGAGCTTGTTTTTATTTCATGTTTTCAGTTGACAGTTGTCAGTGATCAGTCAGTGTTAATTGAATCAAGGGTCTGTGCATCCACTGAAGGACTGGAAAAGGTATGTCTGTAGCTATGTTTCCATCCACACGTTTTTATACGCATTAAGTGATATCGAATGAAAAATGCCTTATGGAAACAGTAAATTTCTATTGAAATTCATGAATATCGACTCAAATGAAATGCGTTCTGTCTCATCGGATTTTATCGTAATTGATATACGGCTTATGCGATAAACGCTGATGGAAACGTTATTTGCCGAATAAAAAATGAATTGCGATTTAAGTTTTAGGTCATTTCCGCTCTGTTTGCGCCTCTTATATATGGTCTATGGTTGGCAATGAGACATTTTAATTGTTTATCAATAAACAAGTGTTTTCTGTGTCGGCTCCAAAGATGAAGTTGACGATACTGACTTGCGATCTTCGCAGTAGTGAACGCGCCGGAGAGAAATGCACATTTCCTACGGATTACATAGTTTTATTTTGTTTTGGATGGTTCTGTTTAGAACAAGCTTTCTGTAGATAATAGATATATTTCACATTTTTTAGACAATTTTTATTTTATTTTTTATTTTCTTTACTTCCAGGTGACTCCTGAGAAGGACAGATTATCATTGGAAGGTCAAGACTGTGTTGAGGAGGATGTTGAGATGGTAATTAAAAGACCATTGCATCATTTTAGAAAATACTAGTTTGTTGTAGTGTATCTTCACCACATTAGCCTTCTTTTTTCATTGTTTTCAGATGCCTCGTACTTGTTAAATGAGGAGCAGAGCGTTTGTGCACCTACTAAAGGAGTCAAGGAGGTATTTAAATGTTTTAGTTAAACTATTTACATAGTGTTTCCCATTAATTGCCTTTACTCTGCTGGCCCAACACAGTCTAATTTGTCCTGCCCCAGTTTGAACCGAATGAACCAAAAAATGTTTTTACACTTTTAATAATAACATAAAATGTATTTAACATTGTGTTCTGTGCCATTGCTTAGGCAAAGAATCTGTCAAATGAACTAAAGTCGAAAGCATGATATGGCTTAGTGCCCATAACAAATTCTGAAAGATTGAAATTAAGTAAATAGTCTATTGCGCTCCTGTTTCAAAGTGAAGAGCATGCAGCCTTTTTTTATAAGCTCTTTTCAGTAATATTAGACAATGTCTAAATAAGGATTTGGACAGCATATTAACCAATACCATTTAAGCAATGTAATGTAAATGTTCTTTAACCCTCTGGGGTCTAAGGTGTTTTTGAATGAATGAATGAATGAATGGAGGCATTTATATAGCGCTTTAATATGTACTACTATACACCCAAAGCGCTTTACAATCATATCAGGGGTTCTCTCCTCAACCAGCACCAGCATTTTTTGGGGTCCTTGAGATGTTTTGACATGCCCTGACATTTGTGCTTTTTTCAGTTCCTTATAAACATCTTAATGGCACAGGTGTAATTACACTCTATTTAGCACAAACAGGCAGAGGTGGGACCAAGTCATTGTTTTGCAAGTCACAAGTAAGTCTCAAGTCTTTGCATTCAAGTCCCAAGTCAAGTCCCGAGTCAAGACAGGCAAGTCCAAGTCAAGTTGCAAGTCCTCGAGTTTAAGCTTCAAGTCGTAAACAAGTCATTAGTGCTTTTTGCACAAATTAGTGTCTGTGTTAATTACTATAGTAAATGAAATGTATATAATTTATATCAGGAAGGCTTTTAAAGGGTAACTAAACCCCTGGTCAGAGCCTGACTACGCCCACTGGCAATATTCGAAAAATGCTGGAAAAGTGGGCAAATGCTGCGTCCCAATTCGCATACTATCCGTCCTAAATAGTATTCGAAAATAGAATTAGTACGTCCCAAATCGTAGTATGTTGAAATGAGTGTCCCAAAGAGACCCGGATGGTCTACTATTTCCGGTCAGAATCCAAAGTGCAGATCGATGCACACTCTAACGGCTAATATTGCCCACAACCCATCGCGCATTGGACGAGGATTCGGTTAGAACTACAAACACAAGTGAAAAGTGTTCAAAAACTACAGACATGGAGGACAGGCGAGTCCGACGGTTATGTAGAGAGGTTTAGATAAAGGGGTTTGAATGATTATCAGTATCTAACCTGACTAAAATGTATTTATTCAATGTTGTCCACATTATATTGCATCTGCAGCAGCATTGTGAACTTTTGCAAAGATATGTTTAGCCATTAACTTTTAAATGCATTATTATATTCAAATTCCAAACACACAGGAGAGTCTTGGCATGAAAGACCCACGACTGGCAGATGAACGTGCTACAACATTTCTCTCCGAAACCGTAAGAAATTAACTTAGATTGAATGGAGGATTTTAACTGTGACGAGATGATTGACAGGGCAGTTTACGGTGACAGGATGCACGCAGCACGCGACAGATCTGTCCGTTAAAGATGACGTAGTAGGCTATGTCCCAAAGCTTGCCTACTCTTTTGCTACACACTCAAAAGTATGTACTTTTTCTTCACAAAAAGAGTACATACTTTTAAGGCGTAGTATAAGTAGGCGAATTGGGACGCAGCAAGAGTCTAGTGGAGGGGGGGGGAGTGTCACAGTGTCTGGTTGTGTTTCCCTGGGTTGTCACTAGAGGTCCTCGTTCTCACGGTGTCTTTCACATTTGACTTCAATTCCCAGCATCACTACAGCCAGATTACTAGTGTTATACACTAAACAGTTTTTAGAGATAAAACTCTTTACATTCGATTATCATGAAAACAAATCTCAGAGAACGGTTGACTAGGTACCAATGTTTTATTAGACCAAAGGTTCATTTTGCGCCAGAGTTCTCCTTTAATGTACACTGTCCCTGTCAAATAAATAAAAATATTTTAATTAACATTCAAATGACAGATAGAACCAGTTAGATTAGAACACGGTCTTGGGGTCAGAGCAAAGGACCCTTAGAGCCAGCTAGTGTCTTGGGGTCAGAGCAAAGGACCGTTAGAGACAGCTAGTGTCTTGGGGTCAGAGCAAAGGACCCTTAGAGCCAGCTAGTGTCTGGGGGTCAGAACACAGGACCCTTAGAGCCAGCTAGTGTCTTGGGGTCAGAACACAGGACCCTTAGAGCCAGCTAGTGTCTGGGGGTCAGAACACAGGACCCTTAGAGCCAGCTAGTATCTTGGGGTCAGAACACAGGACCCTTAGAGCCAGCTAGTGTCTTGGGGTCAGAACACAGGACCCTTAGAGCCAGCTAGTGTCTGGGGGTCAGAACACAGGACCCTTAGAGCCAGCTAGTGTCTAGGGGTCAGAACACAGGACCCTTAGAGCCAGCTAGTGTCTGGGGGTCAGAGCAAAGGACCCTTAAAGCCAGCTAGTGTCTTGGGGTCAGAGCAAAGGACCGTTAGAGACAGCTAGTGTCTTGGGGTCAGAGCAAAGGACCCTTAGAGCCAGCTAGTGTCTGGGGGTCAGAACACAGGACCCTTAGAGCCAGCTAGTGTCTTGGGGTCAGAACACAGGACCCTTAGAGCCAGCTAGTGTCTGGGGGTCAGAACACAGGACCCTTAGAGCCAGCTAGTGTCTTGGGGTCAGAACACAGGACCCTTAGAGCCAGCTAGTGTCTGGGGGTCAGAACACAGGACCCTTAGAGCCAGCTAGTATCTTGGGGTCAGAACACAGGACCCTTAGAGCCAGCTAGTGTCTGGGGGTCAGAACACAGGACCCTTAGAGCCAGCTAGTGTCTAGGGGTCAGAACACAGGACCCTTAGAGCCAGCTAGTGTCTGGGGGTCAGAGCAAAGGACCCTTAAAGCCAGCTAGTGTCTTGGGGTCAGAGCAAAGGACCGTTAGAGACAGCTAGTGTCTTGGGGTCAGAGCAAAGGACCGTTAGAGACAGCTAGTGTCTTGGGGTCAGAGCAAAGGACCCTTAGAGCCAGCTAGTGTCTGGGGGTCAGAACACAGGACCCTTAGAGCCAGCTAGTGTCTTGGGGTCAGAACACAGGACCCTTAGAGCCAGCTAGTGTCTGGGGGTCAGAACACAGGACCCTTAGAGCCAGCTAGTGTCTGAGGGTCAGAGCAAAGGACCCTTAGAGCCAGCTAGTGTCTGGGGGTCAGAGCAAAGGACCCTGGATTAGAACATCAGACTACTGTTATACTCTACAACTAGGCCTACTCTACATTCCAGCCCTGAAGGTTACAGGGAAACATGACGAGTTGCTCTCTCCGTGTGGTTCCTCCAGGCCTTTTAGGTTGAGGCAGCTTCTTCACCACATCACTTTTGGGAAAATGTGCCACATAATTTTCCTTTAGAGCAAACGTGGGTCTCTCCCACTCTTTCGTGTTTCCCTGGATTCTTCTGAAAGATTGTGCAAGTATTTCGTTGTCCTCTACTTTCTCAACCATGCCAATGTAACGGACGCTCCTGTGTTTGGTTGCAAAGTTAACTATGATAAAGTCACCGTGTTTCCTGGATCACTCCTGGATTCTTTTGTCTTTCTTTATAAGCCTTTTCAATTGCCTGCTTCTCAGGAGTATCAGTTAGGATGGCTGTCTTCACACGCTTTCGTTTGGTTTGTGTTCTGGGGGGACATTTGGGAAGTGGTGGGATTTCACGAGGAGACACATATCCAGGTCGGATATGGGAACACGTGGCACATCTGAGTCTGCTGAGTCTGCATATGCAGTGGCAGGCTGCAGCTCAGGGTTTGGCCGGTCTGACACCATGGATGGTGCAAACGCTTCATCAGGGAAAATGTATCGGTTATATGGGAAAATCCCAGTGGACCTAAATCCAGAAGTGATGTTGCGTGGTGTCACTGCTGACATAAAGGCCTCATTCACAAGTCCTGCAATCTGGTAGATCGAGACTGTTTTGCCAGGGTTGGATCTCATCCACCCATCAAGAGCTCGGCTGTATTGGTTCTTGAACGGGCCATACACGGTCACGTCGAGAGGCTGCATGCGATGGGATGTGTGGAGTGGGAGGGTGAGCAGAACAATACCGTTGCTCTTGGCTATTTCTACTGCCTTGAGTGAGATGTGTGCCGTAAGATTATCCAGGATTAGCAGCATGGGACGGTCAGGGGTGCAGTTAGTGTGCTGTATCAGGTGATCAAGGAACTCAGCCCAGGTGTCTTCATTCATCCATCCCGTTCTGGTGGAGGTACCTTTGGCTCCTGGAGGTCCTTAACCCTCTGGGGACCAAGGGGTTTTTGGGGCCCTTGGGATGTTTTGACATGCACTGACATTTGTGCTTTTTCAGTTATTTATAAACATGTTAATGGCAAAGGTGTACATTCACTCTATATAGCACAAACGGGGCTACCATAATATGTGAGCAACATGTATGTACATGTTTGTATTTTTGAGAGAATATTATTTATGCATGGTTATTGAAAAACTTAAAAATAAAAGTTTCTGAAATAAGGCCACAAAACACATATTGATTATTTCTTCACAAGACTTTTGAAAATTGTATCACATAGTCTAGAATATTTGCTCCAAAACTATGTGAGAATCATCCTGACTACTCATTCAGATAAGTAAATAAAGTCTTTTAGAATGTGTATGACGTCTTTTGTTTGAGAAAGCTTTATGCGAGGAGGCGTGATCTCTCATTAATATGTATGGTATTTCACACCTGAGAAAGACAAAGACCCTCCCATAATGGGCCTATTAGATGCTATCAGGCCCTATCATT